GCGTCGGGGTGACGACTTTTGATTGGAAATCCGGGTGAATTACTTTCCTTAATTATTACAGAACCATAATATTCAGATAGGAAATTTTCTCAGCTTTCTCATAGTGTATGTTGCATTAAAATATTTCGATTACTTACCGTAGTAAAATTGACTTCTTTCCTTTGAAACGGAAATGCATAAACTTCTGCACATTGCACTGAGATGCAACATTAACAATGTTGATCTTCAAAATGTAAGCTTTCCTGTGATAGGTTAATGTCGTTAATTCCTTAAAATTCGCCTCCCGGAAAGCCAATCAAAATGACGCTATCAACGCCGCAGAGACAAAACTACAGTGCCATGCATCAAAGGGGAAACCCCGTATTCAATTTTAGCACAACTTCGACCGCGTTAATTTTTAATGCAAACTCTTCAGAATGACATAACACACATATCATACGAAAGTTCAAACAATGTAGAAAAAATTCATTATATTTAATTTCTCGATAAATATGAATAATAATGCAAAAATTACGTTTATAAACATTGATAAATTGTGTTTAAATGGCACGATTACATAGGTAAGTCGGGTTACCTGAACCCCCTACAGTTTGGGTGGGGGTGGGAGGGTGTGGGGCTCGGATCCCCCTGACTGAATTTGTAGAATTATTAAATGTATACATGTATACTGAAGCAAATAAAATATGTCAATATGGATATAAAGATTTGATTGCTTATTCTTTATTATGTGTAAAGAAGATTCTTTTGATATTGAGTATTTATCACACTGTAATGATGATTTTATGAGTTTGTACAAGCCAGACCTCATAAATTTCATTTCACATGCTGAATACTATCATTTAGTAAAAAAAAAAGTATTTCAAAAAAAAAAAAAAAAATGGAACGTCCGGAATCCGAACCCGGGACTTCTCAGATGTGAAGTAAGAGACATAGCAATACACCACAGAACTGCTTTTAACTGGTGGAAATTATAATTATGCAAGGATGAAGTCATGTACATGTATATATTCACATTCGATATTGTCAAAATTTTACACAATGCATGGTGTCTAATTTAGCCTTCATTAAACAGTTCTAATAGATGTAATAAGAGATATAAAGTCCGGCGAGAACCTGTATTATACGTAATAACTCTCCTCATGACCCTGTGCTAAAAATAGGGACATGTAATACAATAAATACTAATAAAACAAACGGAGTGGGACACTTTGAGAGGAGTGAGAGAGGTCCTAGGGAGTTTTGGTATAAAATTACATTGCAAAAGCTCAAAATCTTCTTGAAATATCGTCCGGAAATGATAGTGTAACACACAGACAGAATGTAATAAATTTACGACCTTGAACTTTGAGCTTTTGACCTCAAAATCAATAGGGGTCTTCCTTAGGCCACAGGGAGTTGTTATTTAAAATTTTATTGCAAATGCTCAAAGGGTTCTCAATATCATGCGGAAACCAAAGTGTTATAACAGACAGAATTTGCGAGTTTATGACCTTGACTTTTGACCTTAAAATCAACAGGGTTCTTCTTTAGTCCGTAGAGAGTTGTTATGCAAAATTTCATTGCAAAAGCTCAAAGCGTTCTCGAGATATCGTGTGGAAACAAAGCGTTACAGACAGACAGAAAGACGGACAGATGGATGGACAGATCCAAAGAACTACGAAAGATAGTATTGTTCTCCCGCCTACCTCTAAGTCAATTCTCAAAAGTTAAGATATTCGAATGATTTTCATAATTTTTACAGATATTTATATGAATTTTCATAAAACATTACTTATTTGGGATATCAAAGAGAGATAACTCTATAATTATGGTAAAACTTGTGTTTTTCACTATAGAAATCAACGGAAAACGAAAAATGTTTTTAAAACATCTTCCCCCCCCCCCCCCCCCCCCCCCCCCCCCGTGAAACAAAAATTCCTTTTTACAGGTAATATGGACTGTCATTTTACAAATTTATGCCAAAGCTTTTTGTGTTTCACGGGGGGAACATATGTTTATAGACAAAAAACGAAACAAATGCTGATTTTTCACCAATTTTAAAGGTATTTACAACTAAATAATTGTATTTTATTAATTTATATATGTTTTATTTATTTGCATAAAACATAAGAAAAGATATGAGATACATTTTATCATATTTAAGACTATTTCAAAATATGGTGATTCTTGAAAGTTCGATTTCACTAGAAAATATCGTCTACCCCCCTTTTTTCAAGAGCTGGAATTCATGATAATTGACTTTCTAGCGCTGGAACTAAAATGATTAACCAATTACAATAGAACTGTTCTTTGTATTAAACAAAGATTTAATGGCCAAATTGCGATGAATATTGAATTTAATGGGTGCAAAATGTAGGCGGGAATCAAGAGTTAGAGTTCATAGTTCTTAATATCCCCCACTTTTCAAGCAGGGGACAACAAGAATATCAGCAGTCATAGTTGTTTAAAGTCATCATTTTGTAAGTTCTATAGTTGATACAATGACCTTGTCAGCAAATACAATTTATCATTGAGTCAAATGCTGACTGACATTTTTTGTCCCATTTGTTCCATTTTCTTTTTTTTTTCTTAAATACTTTTTTTTTTTACTAAATGATAGCAATGTAAAAATCTGGTCATGACCAGATTTGGAAAGTGAAAAATCTGGTCATAATGCATAATGGCATTCACGGCATATTTACCATGATTAAATTACATATATGTGTATAAGTATTTGTGTATTGAGAATTCTTTTTATTAAACAAGAGGCCCATGGGCCACATCGCTCACCTGAGTAACTTGGGTGATGCAGTTCTTGACCTGATTTCCCCTCTTGCTATACCTATCGTGCCCCCTTACCCCCTTCCCTTTCATGATTTTAATACTTTAGAATCTACACTATACCCCAGGATGCTTCCACATAAATTTCAGCTTTCCTGGCAAAGTAGACCTTGAGAAGAAGATTTTTGAAGATTTGTTCTATATATTTACTTTTAAAAAAGAGCATTGAAGGTTTCATATTTCATTATTGACCTGAATTAAGTGTGCATTTTTTTAAAAAGACTTTTCAATTTCTGCTCAATTTGAAAATATTCCAATTTTGGTTTTGAAGTAATTCCCCCTCTTCTTAATTAACTTAATTAACCAGTGATATGTATTAAATATGCAGTTTGGCCTTCACTAGTTGTCTTCGATCACTTTATTTTATCTAATGAAATTTGTTTCCAAGATTCCTTGATATGTACATAAATATTGTTTCTCTTTTTCTTGGTTCAATCAGAGACATGTCTCGATCTGGTTCAATTTGTTCCTGCTGGCCCTGATAACGATCTAGTTCTATCGGAAGCCATTTTAAATTGACTTCAGACATTGATTTGTCAAAACAACACCCAATTAATTGTTTACACCTGCACTGATAATGAATCCATCGGCATTGTTAACATAGATCTAAGCTTGGGTCGTAACTGGAAGTTAAAAGTGCAACCTAATTTACGAACCAAATCCGGAAATCGGGAGATTTTCGGGTTGCTCGGCAAAAATCGGGTGAAAAGCGTAACCCGCCAGGTCATAAAAAATAATCGGGTTAAGGATCGAAAAATCGGGTGTAACCCGACGAAATTGGGTGAGTTGGCAACTATGTGTGTCGCCTGTACTGTACCTGGACAGTTTGATGAAAACTTAAAAAACAATAAAAGAAATATTGGTAAGTACTAGAAGAATTGTGTAATAATGAAAGATGTGAATCAAGACATTTAATTCGTTTGTATATGTCGAAAATCAACCCAAAGAATGGGCCAGCCTCCAGTTGAAGGTGGTGAATTATCAATTTTAATTATTTTGCAGTTCTGACCTTTTCCTGACATGTCAAATATAAAAATTTTGGTATCGCTTTTATTCAGTTAGGTATTTGTGTGGTGTCTGACATTCTTTTTTACAACACTGCTACAAAATAAACACACATGTTTTATAACATCCCACCTGAGAGATGCCATCACTGGCCGATGGAAGGATTCCGATACAAATTTTGATCTATACTCGGCACTTATGCAACTAATCACCAAGGGATCTTTTTCATATCAGCACTTACTGCAACACCAAGGGATTTTTTTCATGTCAGCACTTACTGCAACACAAGACCTTGGTTTATATGGTCTCATCAGAAGGACTGGTCTCCACTCCCCACAGTGGGGATTTGAACCCACAACGTAGGCCTACAGATCAACTTCTTACTTTGGAGCAGACACTCTAACCGCTGCACCTTGTTGGCGACTTTTACAGGGCCTGGAAAACTTCGGATATTTCGGACTACACTACCCCCATCCCAACTGTCAAAGTATGCCTATATCAGTATATATCGAGCGATATGTATATTGACATAAATAAGTACAGTTATAGTGTAACAGGAAAGGAGAAAATGTATGGCTGGACCGGGAATCGAACCCGGGACCCCTGTATCACTAGTCAGGTGCTCTACCGATTGAGCTATCCAGGCCGATATCCACGGCCCGAACCATTACATTCCTCCCTCCTTAAATGGTCTTCGCCCTCGAAGACACAACCCAAGTTCTTATTGCCCCTGGCAGGACTTTCACCTGCGATTCCAGGGGTGGTCAACGGCACCAAATCTGTAACAGGAAAGGAGAAAATGCATGGCTGGACCGGGAATCGAACCCGGGACCCCTGTATCTCCAGTCAGGTGCTCTAACCACTGAGCTACCCAGGCCGATATCCACGGCCCTAACCATTACATTCCTCCCTCCTTAAATGGTCTTCGCCCTCGAAGACACAACCCAAGTTCTTATTGCCCCTGGCAGGACTTTCACCTGCAATTCCAGGGGTGGTCAACGGCACCAAATTTGTAACAGGAAAGGAGAAAATGTATGGCTGGACCGGGAATCGAACCCGGGACCCCTGTATCACTAGTCAGGTGCTCTACCGATTGAGCTATCCAGGCCGATATCCACGGCCCGAACCATTACAATAGTAATAGGCATCAATATTTTACATGCATCCCTCCTAACCTTCACTTTAACCCTCACAACTTCTCTTGACTCAAGTCCAAAGAATCCCGATTTTGACATGATAAGTCATGAAAAGTTCCTTTTCTTCTTAGTATGACAGGGTAAGTCCCATCATTCTGACATTCACGTCATCATTTCCAGCCGGAAGTACTGTCCGTCCCTCTAAACAAAGCACTGTACTCTATATGAAGCATGTTAAGCAAGCTCCTCATAACTTAATTTACCAGTGGTTACAATTCATTGTGCGAGTTCAACTCTATACCACACACGCACATATGTATCTAAAGTTTGTTTTATATCTTCATGTGTGTGTGTTTGATTTTTTTTTATGTGGTCGTTTCATTTTAAATCCGATCCCGATCTTATTTACACACCAGAATACAGGTCTATTTTAATTTTTATACATGTAAATTTGGACGACCACCCAAATACACATTAAAATACAATGACGATGTTTTAGAAACTGTAAAAGATTTCAATTACTTAGGTATTTATTCTCAAGATCAGGGTCATTTTCAAAGGCCAAAAAACACTTCGTAATCAAGCACATTTTTAAAAGGCAATGTACGGCATTATCAGAAAAAATCGTTTATATAATCTATCTCTGGACTGTCAGCTAGATCTGTTTGATAAAGTTGTTGTTCCTGTTTTGTTACATGGATGTGAAATATGGGGATCTGAAAGTATTGATATTACTGAACGTCAACATTTAAGCTTTCTGAAATATATTTTAAACTTAAAATCTAAAACACCGACCTTTATGGTATACGGGAAACTGGACGTTATCCGACGTATGTGCGCATTTATACAAGAATGAAATTTTACTGGGGAAAACTGATAAATGGGAAAAAGATCTGTAGAATTATTTATTTATATCTTTATAATAAATACATCAAAAATGGGATTAGTAATCCATGGATATCTTTCATACAGAACATTCCGAATACAACGGGGCTATGTAATATTTGGACTAATCAAATTTTTCATAGTGTCAAATGGATTGCAACCGCAATAAACTAAAAGCTCAAAGACCAGTTTTTACAGAAATATTATAGTGATATGAATAATTCAAGTAAAGGTATTACATATAGAATTTTTAAAACAAAGTTTGAATGTGATACATATAGAATTTTTAAAACAAAGTTTGAATGTGAAAAATACTTAACTATTTTACCAAGAAAATTTAGAATTATCTTTTAAAAATTCAGAACAAGTAACCATCATCTTCCAATAGAGATGGGTATATGGAATAATGTTGAAAGAAATGAAAGAGTGTGCAATTTGTGTGATAATAATCAGATAGGAGACGAATTTCATTATTTACTGTGATTTCTGCTCGTCCATAATTATTGTAAATATGTATATATGTACCTCTTGTACCATGTATATGGTTTTTTGAGAGAATAAATGAATTTAAATTAACTACCGGTAAATGCTTTTAAAAATCAGCTAAGACATATAATAAAAGTTTTTAACAATCATGTTTACAGTATTTTGTTCGATATCTATCGATACCGTCCTCGTTGTTTTGTTTTGATTTCGTTGTTTAAAACTAATTCGACAAATCTTTCTTCTTCTTCTTCTTCCAAGTAACTGCAAACTTCCTCTGGAGTATTATCACAGACTTTTATTTGCTCTGCATGCCCAGCAGAAGCGTGCTGTTAAAATCATGTATTTACATGTTTAAAACAAGATGTGTTTGTAAAACACTATGCGCCCGTTGGCAACAAAGTTCGAAAAGGCTATATTTTTAGCATATAGGTCACAGTCAAGGCCACAAGGTCATTGATCTTGGTGTCATTTGAAAGTACTTAATAAGTGGAGTTGCATACCAAATAAGAAGTCTCTATCTCTTATGGTTCAAAAGTTATGGCAAAAGTTCAAAAAAGCTTCTTTTTTTAGCATATAGGTCACAGTCAAGGTCACAAGGTCATAAACCTTGGTGTCCTTTGAAAAAAAGTTTCAAATATGAAGTCTCTATCTCTTATAGTTCAAAATTTATGGCGAAGTTTAAAGTTGACAACAGACAGACAGACAGAACAGATAAACAGAAAAACAGCCAGGACAAAAACAATATACGCCCTGGATCTATCGATCCGGGCGCATAATAAGGTCATTCGAACAATTATTAAGACAGCACTATTGTAGATGGTATATGGGTTGAGTTGGTGCAGCTGCTCCTTAAATCCCTCTAAAGTTGGAGCATGGACCACGCTGACTGGGAGGTTGTTCCTTAAGCGGATTGTGGAAGAGAAGGGTTGTTGGTGATTCTGCACTAATCTGGAGTATGGAATTTGGTAGCCGAGACTTTGTCCTCATATTCTTGTAGCTGATTGTATTAGAAACTAGAGGTACTGTGAGCGATGAGCTCACTAAATGATACCCCCCGCCTCCCATATGGTTATAACTGGTGAAAAAGTCCATGTTTTCCTGTGGCCGGGAAACTCAAAATATGTGTCGGATCAAAAAGTAAAATAGGAGGTGCACAATGGCAATATGTAATAAAGATTCTGTGAAAGTTTCATCAAATTTCATTCAGTGGTATTAGAGGAGCTGCGGATAAGAGATGGGTACCCCAAAGCGTAACAGACGGACGGACGGACGTACAGACGGACGGACGGAATTAACGATTACTATATACCCTCCCACTTTTCAAGCGGGGGGTATAATAAGTATGACAGTGTTGGAATAGCCACTTATAGTCCACTGATGACTCTATACAGCATTGTAACTTTAAGCATTTCTCTACGGTGTTGGAGAGGGGTGTTGTTAAAACGCGGAACAAGAAAACGGAACGGAAAGCGGAAACATGATTTCAGAATAAATCACTTATAATACACATACTTTTATCAGAAACGACACATTTAATACATAATTAATCCATCAATATTAAATACAAGTTGATTAGTTTAGTTATGAGCAGTCCTTCATTCACGAAAATCGCTGACATAGCAGTGACGTGGCCTCGCTATTGAAAGGGGAAATCACAGGCACCTGACGTTACTTATTTTTCTTTTAATAAAAAAATATACCACTACCTTATAGTTTATTATTAGGAAGTGGTATATTTTTTTATTAAAAGAAAAATAAGTAATGCCAGGTGCCTGTGGGGGAATCAACTTTCCTGAAAAGAACTTGACAAGTGAAAAATGAAGACGTATTATAATAAGATAACAAAATATATGTATATACTGAAAAATAAGCATTTTATTATACCCCCCGCTTGAAAAGTGGGAGGGTATATAGTAATCGGTATTTCCGTCCGTCCGTCCGTCCGTCTGTCTGTACGTCCGTCCGTCCGTCTGTCCGTCCGTCTGTTACGCTTTGGGGTACCCATCTCTTATCCGCAACTCCTCTTATACTACTGAGTGAAATTTAACGAAACTTTCACAGAATCTTTATTACATATTGCCATTGTGCACCTCCTATTTTACTTTTTAATCTGACGCATATTTTATTTATTTTCTAAATAGCACACAAAGAGGTACTGCCACATGAACTTTAACAGTATGAAATTTTAGCATCATATTTAAAAGGTGACTAACTCAATTTCCTCTTCGAATTTGTAGCAAAAATCTTGGGTTCATTTTGGTAAAATGATTATTTTATGCATACATGATATACTGGTAAGAAATGATTTAAAATTATCAATGCATTAAAGGGACACTGTGACGGAAAAGATGAAAATGGACAAAGTAGAATTTTTGCATGATACATGCAAAGGATGACTGCACTTAAGATATGCAAAATTTGCGTCAAAATAAACTTTCAAAACAGACATTTTTCTAGAAATGTCAGATCAACATCTCATCTACAACTTTGCTTAATTACAATAAATAAAAGTATGTATTTACAATATACGAATCTGTTTTCTGAGGTTGGGGTCAACACCATTTCTTCAATCTCCGTACGATAATGAGGACGCCCACTGACTATACAGATTTTACAGTTAAGGCGAGATGGGAACAAACCCTTTATACATAGTCAGCGCATGTTTGTCTATTGTTCTCCTTTTTACAGTAGCTGTATATTTGCATAAGTAATGTTGTTTTAAAAGGAGATTAATAGACAAACATGTGCTAATGGTTAAAAAGAGAAAAAAAACTGCTTCTTCTTACAATATGATTTCTTTCGTTTGAGGAACGAATTAGACAGAAATCAATTTCTACTTGGTGTGATAATGAATTACTTTTTCGGAATTACAAGGTTTTCATTCGAATACCTGGTGTATATCACGTGGTTCTTTAGAACCGGTCTCGTTAGCAAGGCTATATAAGAGGTGAATAGTGGTTTAAATACCAGTTTAGGACGACACGTAGAGCACGATAAAGTTTAAATTTTATCATGATTTATTCAATCCAACATAAACTTGTATATACAAATTGATTTTCATATTTTGCATATGTTATGTAGACTGCACAAATAAAGCTACTGCGTGTCGTTGCTATGTCCAAATGGTGTGTTTGTTCTTTATTGTACTTTCATTTGAAAGTAATGAATGGATTTAGAGTAGAACTCGCTTTCTCTGTTGTAACCAAGGGCTGTGACACGTTGAATATTATAATTTACCACGTGATATCTTTCCTCAGGTAATTTTGTGAATACTAAATTCCGTCACGTGACTTATTGATAGCATGTTTTGTGATAACAGGACACTGTGTTCGAACACGTTGAATAGTCAGCCATCCATTTAACAATATTATTTACTTATACGTTTTAAACCTTTGTAAATAATGTACTTGTGCCATACAGAATAAATAGCAAGATGGAAAATAGAGATCTCGTATTTTTATACCCCCCGCTTGAAAAGTGGGAGGGTATATATTAATCGGTATTTCCGTCCGTCCGTCCGTCTGTACGTCCGTCCATCCGTCTGTTACGCTTTGGGGTACCCATCTCTTATCCGCAACTCCTCTCATACCACTGAAGGAAATTTAATGAAACTTTCACAGATTTTTAATTACATATTGCCATTGTGCACCTCCTATTTTACTTTTTGATCTGACATGTATTTTTGATTTTCCAGAGCAAAACATGGACACTGCCATTATATTCATATGGGAGGCGGGGGTATCATTTAGTGAGCTCATTGCTCACAGTACCTCTAGTTTTTAAATACATGTCATTGTTATTCACCCACT